TCCAGTGCTCCGGATCAAAAAGCCAGAAAACCAGATTATGACGGAAATGGTCCCTGTTTCTCTCCTACCTTCCTCTTCCTCCTCCTCCTCCTCCTCCTCCTCCTCCTCCCCTTCCTCCTGTCTCCTCTCTCTTTCTCTCACCCCTCTCTCTTTCTCTCCTCTTTCTCCCTCCCTCCCTCCTTCTCCCTCCCTCCCTCCTTCTCCCCCTCTTCTACAGTAGAGTTTCATTTTCCGGCTCTCCAGCTAGCAGGAAGATGGCTGGAGTCCCAGCTCTGAAACATTACTACTGAGGCGGGGACATCCCCCCGCCCCCATACATCCCAATCCTTTATCAAGGTCAAGGATTTAAAAAAAACCACATTTTTCCATTCCTTCCCGCTGCGCGCTCAGATCCCCAGTCAGGCAGGCTGGCCCAGGCCGAGGGGGTTACAGCGGGTGACTCCATCTGCCGCGTGGCCCTGAAGCAACAGTGTGACTAGAGGCCCTACTCCTGGGAGTCCCCGGGGTCCCGGGGAGACGGAGGCAGTGCTATCTCTATGAGCTGACAGGGGGGGACGGGTGAACGCAGCCCTGAATGCCGGCAAGAGCCCTGCCAGGCTCAGTGGAGTCTTCCCGGCAGGCACCCCGGGGAGGGGGGGTGCAGTAGGACCCCCTCATCCAGCTGAATCCTCTTTAGGGAACTGATCTGGATTTGCCTCTGCCCTGCGGAGCGTTTGCTTTCACTGGGAGAGGAGCTGGGTGTCTGGGAACAGCCCCGGGGACCTCAGAAACTGAGCAAAGAAAAGGCACAGCAAATGGCATTCTCTGTGGGGGTCACCCAGAGGACTCCCAGGAACGCTTGTCCCCCCCAGCCCGCCCCAAGCATGCCTCTGCCACCCGCAACATAACCCTGGCAGCCAGGCCAACCCTGGGGCCACAGCCCGGGCCCAGAATCGGCATCTGGAGGGTGGACACCTTGCACTCCCCCCCCCCCCCACACACACACCCAGGGGCGAACCTGGGTTCTCCTAGGAGGCCAGGGAAGCTCCCACGGAGCCCGGCTCAGCCCCAAGCCGCTGCCGCCCTTCATTCCCTGCCTGGATGCCCCTGGCTGGGCGCCCCACTTGGCAGCAGTTCTAAGGAGCATCCGCCCCTCCCCCCCCCGCCACTGGACCCCACTCTCGGTGACCAGGGCGACTTTGCAGGGCACTGAGGCCCCGGTGGGATGGAATAGGGAAAGGCCCGTTTCTTGGGGGGGGGAGGGAGGTCCCTGGCAGTGTCGGGGGTCACTCTGAGTGATGTCTGGCCAGCCAGGCTAGATGGGTCAGCAGTGAGGGGTACCAGGGTCACCTGCAGGGGTGGGGGCGGGGGGCGGGCATCCAGGCCGGGGCCAGCTCCCCAGCCTGCCCCAGGTCTGTTTTTCATGTTTTGAAAATGCTGATTGGGGGGGGCACAGGGCCACACCAAGGTTGCACCCCACTATTTCTCACCGGCCCTGAGCAGCTCCTCCCGGGTACTGCCCAGACCCCATTTCCCCCGCGGGAGGAAACTGGTGTGTGGCAGACCCGGCCGGGAGGAAGTCAAAGTCCTGGCCCAAACCCGGCCCGAACCCTCGCGTTCACTGCGACTTTCCATGGAGACGATGCAGGATACTGCGTGACCCCGACATTCCCTGGCACCCCCCAACCGGTGGCACTTGGGAACCAAACTGGGGTCGGGGAGGGGTGTAAGAGGCAAGCGCCTCCCCTGCAACCATCTCTTTGGCCCCTGGGAAAGTCCATTTTGGGGCTATGCCTGGCTGTGCCCAGGGCTTACTCCTGGCTCCGTGCTCAGGGCTCAATTCCGGCTCTGTGCTCAGGGCTTACTCTCGGCTCTGTGCTCAGGGATCACTCCAGGCTGTGCTCGGGGCTTACTCATGACTTAGTGCTCAATGATCACTCCCAGCTCTGTGCTCAGGGCTCACTCCAGGCTCTGTGCTCAGGCCTTACTCACGGCTCTGCACTCAGGGATCATTCCAGGCAGCGCCGGGAGCTAACAGACAGATTCTGATTCAGCCTCTGAGCTCTCTGACTGGTGACTCACACACAGCCTGGATGACGAAGTCCCAGAGCCCCAGAGAGCAGCACAGGGGGCCTTTGCACACGGGGCCCTGGGCCTGCCATCCCCCAGGGCCTACTCTGTGGGCACCCCCCCACCCTCCAACAGGGTCACCCAGCAACAGCCACTCCTTCGTCCATGCAGTCCACTCCTCCAACCGGGACCCGCGCTGCCCAGGGGGTGACCCCTGACACACAAGGCCAGCTCTGGCCTGGAACAGTGACCCCTGAGCAGAGAGCACTATCAGGTCGAGCAGGGCCGGGCATACAGCAAGTCTCCAATAAATGCTTGCCTGAGGAATTAGGGCGGTTAGTGTTGTTTCTTCTACATGCTGGTTCTAGGTCAGAGGCCATAAAAAAAAATAATGATAAATCAGTGAATCATAAGTTATATGAGGGCGGCATTGTGCTTTGATCCTCGGGCCCGGCGCTGGATAAATACGGCATTTCTAAACACACAGAATCCAGGAAGACTGCGAAGCATCGCCCAGATTTACGGTGATGGAAACAAACCAAAATGTCCCCTTTTCTACCCCCGCACCCAAAGGACCCACTATCCTATCTCCTGAGTGGGAGGGACCTGCTATAACAAGGCTGCCCGCCTCCCGGCGGGGAGTCCCGCAGGCACCCCGCCCTCACCTGGCCCGCTGGCCTGCCAGGGCCCTGCGGAAAAGGAGCTGACCTCAGGCTGCCCAGAACATTCTGGCCCGGGCTCTGCTAAGTAATCGCTTTCCCCAAAAACACTGATCAGCGACACTCCCCCGCCAAGGCCCTCAAAGGTTCAGCAACTCACCGGACACGCATGAGTCATGAATAAGATACTCTGCAGAAGAAAGCAAGCTACAGGAAAATGTTGCCTGTGTCTCATCCACTCAGTAGGCAAGTGGCATCACTCTGAGCCCTGTCCTTTGGGGGGGGAGGCAAGGGGCCGCCCCCCCCCCCCCCTTTCTCCCTCTGGCTCACACACTCACCATCGGAGACCTACCCCACGCCCAGGATGCTAAGTAACTCCCTCAAATGCAAATGCCATGGTCCCAGGAACTGGGGGCTCCCATCCTCCTCCATCCTCAGGACTTCAAGCAGTGGGGCCCAGTCTTGGGCTGACAACACAGCAGAGGGGGGTTTGCAAAATCACCTGGCAACAGGGCTCTCCGGGAAGCCAGGAAATAAGAGTTTCTCATTCAAAAACTAACAGCTACTTCCGCCCAGTCGACCCGATACAACTCACCAGCCTTTTTAATCTTTCTAATGTTTGGGGCCGTTTAGGGAGCTTAAAGTTTTAATCTCTCTGTCTCTGTCTCTGTTTCTGTCTCTCTCTCCAGGAGGGCTGGAGGGGGTGTCCCAAAGGGGGGGGTGAGAATTGGGCTGCAGAGGACACTGCATGCATGCACACAGACCAACGTGTTTAGTGATTCAGTTTCGTTCTTTACAGCAACTAACACTGATTTCTCCTTTCCGCTGAAGACAGTTTTATTTTTTTTTTTTTATGTAGGAGTACTGCTATTTATTCAGCCACTGATTAGGCTGATTGATGAAGACAGTGTCTTTAAAATAAAAGTGGATGAGTTTTTCCCCCAAAACGAGTCGTTTTCTTAAAAAAAAAAAACCATAATCAAACCACCTGACTTATACTTAGTAAACAATGAGTTCAGGTGATCCTAGCTGTGGTGGAAAAATAACAGCGGCTCAGGGCTGGTGTGAGCCCAGGAGCAAAGCCCTGGGGGGTGGGGGGCGTTGGCAGTCCCGGGGGGTCTGTCTGCAATAAGGGAATCCTGGTAGCAGGACCCCTGGGGACCCTCCGCGCTCACCCCGGCTCCCTCCCGGAGGGCGCCTGGGAACTCGGGGGCTCAGACAGTCCCTAGTTTTAATCTCTCTGTGGGGCACAGGTGGGCGGGGGTCCTGGATGAAGTGGCCCAAAAAAGGGTCCTACCTGAACTGGAGGGACACGGTGGGACCGGGGCACAGAAGGGGACGGGGGACCCCAGAAGTGGAGGGACGCAAGGAGGGAGGGTCTTACAGGAACCGGGGCTCAGGTTCCCCCTGCTACAGTGGGGGGTAGGGGGGCGGGACCCCAGGGGTTGCAGCGGGGGGAGGGGCGGGGGTCCCGGAGAAGCCTGGGACTGAGAACGCAGCGGGACCGCGTCTAAGGGACGGGGTGCGGCGGGGGTCCGGCCCGAGGGGTGCGGAGGCGGGACTGGGGTTCGGTCCGAGGGGTGCCGCAGGGGACGGGGGAGTTCGGCCGAGGGGTCTGGCGGGGAGTGGGGGTCCGGCCCGGGGGGTCCCGCAGAGGACGAGGGTCCGGCCCGAGGGGCGCGGCAGGAGACGGGGAAGTCCAACTCGAGGGGTCCGGCAGGGGGCGGGGGTCCGGCCCGGGAGGTCCGGCGGGGGACGGGGAATTCGGACCCGGGGTCCGGAGAAGAGACGCGGGTTCGGCCCGGGGGTCCGGCGGCGGGGGTCGGGGGGTCCAGCCCAGGAGGTACCAGAGGCTGGACTGAGGGTCAGGCCCGAGGGGTCCCGCGGCTGGGGACAGGGGTCCGGCCCGGGGCGGGGCGGGGGTCCGGCCCGGGGAGTCCGGCGGGGGGCGGGGATTCGGACCTGGGGGTCCGGAGAAGGGACGGGGGTCCGGCCCGGGGGTCCGGAGAAGGAATTGGGGTCCGACCCGGGGGTCCGGCGTGGGGCGGGGGTCCTGTCCAGGGGGTACAAGAGGCTGGACTGAGGGTCAGGCCCGAGGGGTCCCGCGGCTGGGGACAGGGGTCCGGGCCGGGGGGTCCCGAGAAGGGGCGGGGGTCCGGCCCCGCGGGACCCCCCTCGGGGCGCGAGGGCGCCGCGGGGCCCGGCGGCGGGGGGGTCCCGGGACGCGCCCTCGCGGCGCGGGTGGCGGCCGCGGCCCCCCCGCACACGCCCACCCCGCGGGGCCCGGCCCACCTGTCCTCGCTGGCCGTGATGACGCCGTCCTCCTGCGGGATGAGCAGCGCGGCCGTGACGGCGTCCTGGTGGCCCTCGATCTTGCTCAGCAGCCCCGGGCGGCTGCTCTGCGGCCGCGAGTGGATCTCGGCCGCCATGTTCGCGGCCGGCAGCGGGCGCCGGGCGCCGCCGCCGCCGTAAAGCCCCGAGAGCCGCGCGCGCCGCCGTAGTGCTGCGGGGAGACGCGCACGCGGACCCTGGCTGGCGCGGGGCGCTGGCCCAACGGCAGCAGAGGGGCG